TTGATACCCTGATGTTGAGTGAAGATAAGAAAGAAGAAGAAGCTATGTCACGTATTCAGTATTGAAGTAAAAGTTTGAAAATTCTGATGCCAGCTAACAGCAACCGTAAAGAACGACTTAAAAGAGAACTCCACACACTAAGACATTCATCCATCAGCATTACTCACAGTTTCGCCTCAAAGAGTGAAAAAAATGAGTAGGCGAGACCATATGGCTAGCTTCCTTGTAAAACCTCCCCTCAACTCATCTAAAAAAAAATAAATCTTCTCACAATTTTTTATCTCATCATTAGAGATCTGATTCTGAATAGGTCGTTAAGAGAACCCATGGCCATGAAAGATGGCGGCATGGTTTGTCTGAATAGGGCGTTACTCTGTGGTTCAAATGCAAATGTTCCATTGATGAAGTAATTTACGTTGTGGCCGCTATGAGGCGCCCCTTGAAATGGCAGCCTAATTTATCGCTGGTGACTTCAAACAATGAAGACTTTGAGACTAAACGAACGTCTTTATTGAGATGGTATTGAATATTTTAAACTATTTTAAACGCGTAAGATTCTTTTTTGAAATTAAACAATTTCTACTGCCCTTACTGCAATGGAAAAAAATAATGAGAGGTCCTGGCTCATCAGTGGTGAACCCTCCCAGCGGTTTCGCCAGTTTAATCTACCATACCGCTGTTATATTATATTTTTCGATCTTCCTTTTATAGTAATATTGATGCTAGACTCTTGGAATGGGTATTTTAGATGAACTATCGACATAAGCTTTGAGACACTAGAATTTCATTCAATTATAAATATATAATATGCTTCGAGCAGTCGCTCTTCCGTAAAGTAAAAGTTTTATTTTTAAAAGAATCATACGCGTCTATAATAGTTTCGAAAATTCAAAACAAGAGTATAACAACAAGAAATCGTAAATAAAAACTCACGATTTGTTATATATATAACAAATATATATTTAACAAATATTAACATATTAATATTAACAAATATATATATATATATATTATATAATACACTGCGGCCTGTGATTGCAAAACGACACTTGAAGTTACACCGCATGAGTTTCTTTTCAATGAAAAATAAAAACTTTATTTCAAGGTGAAATATTGACTATTTCTAACCTTTTTGGATGAGGTATGAAAGGGTGAATTTATGAAGAGTAATGATAGCGTAATTGTAGCGTTGATAGGGACTGGGATTACACAGAGGAGACCACCAAACACAGAGAACGCTTTAAGCGTCTCCACACAACTCACTCCTAGGAAGGACATAACTATGGTCCTCTCCTCTTATATACAAACATGGCCACATTTGTCCAATGACGTAGGAGATCAGTTTACTTCACAAACAACAGCGGTATGGTAGATTAAACTGGCGAAACCGCTGGGAGGGTTCACCACTGATGAGCCAGGCCCTCCCTTTAATTTTTTCATCGCAGTAAGGACAGTAGAAATTGTTTTATTTTAAAAAGAATAATACGCCTCTAAAATAGTTTTATAATTTGATAACAGATGGCGCTCTAGTACATCGTAATATTTGATTATCAGATACAAAACTATATCCGGAAAAATTCCAAAAAGCAAAGACCACGGGTGAAGCCAGTTCATTTTTAGTATGCAGGAACAAAATTCTAACAGAAAAACATTCATTCGAGCAGAAGACACAAAGCCAGATCATCTCTTTATAAAAATATCGCTTCTTAGACACAAAGTTTGGAGCGGGACGTTTCACAAGAATGACATCCACGGCGCCAATTTATAATTGTAACGAATAATATTTGAATAAAAGCATTTAATTGGGTAAACCCCGGGCGTTGCCCGGGTCATTCGGCTAGTAATATCATAAACAGGAAGATTACAATACCTTAGATATCTCAGAAGAAATCAATAGATCAATTTTATAGGTTCTAGATGCCCTGAAAATAGACATATTCCATAACATTGTTAAATTATCAATTTTAAAATTTCAGTTGTAAATATCCACACTGTATGTTTTTGTAAATATATATTGTAAGATATAGTCGATGTTTTATTGAGCCCGTTGAAGAGAGATTATCACTTGAAAGTTAGCGTTTTGTAATAAATTCATTGTGAGAAAATATTTTGTCATTTTAAAACTTTTTCACAATATTATCATAAATAGAGATATATTGAAGATTTTGGATATTAAAAATAAAGAAGGCATATCCTGACCAGGAGCACATGTGCTTTACAGAACACAGAGCGTCATCTGGTGGAACAGAAATCAACTAAACATTGATTTAGCTTGTTTCTTGATATTTGGTCCACCCAATTTCTTGATAAATCATGAAAAGCCATATACGAATGTGTTTCGTGCTGTTGGCACTCGTCAGCGTGGTGTAAGCTGTATTGTTGGATATACACAATATTGGATATTGTTGGATATACACAAGGTGACAATACTTGTTGAACTTATGGATTTGTGTGTCGCAGAGCCCCCGCATAGCAAAAAAGCCTCAATCACATCGATGGAAGAAGTTCTGGACTCTTTGCTGGCCATTCCGGGTGGGTCGCGGTCATCGAGTCCAACGTCCCCTCGACGATTAGGTCCCAGGGGACAACGACAGACTCCCTCTCCACGGGCCCTCACTCCATCCGACCCAGCTCGACCGTTATCCTGGACAACACCAGATGAAATCTCACAGGACAAGCTACATTCCTGGCCATTCCAGGAGAACAACCAGTCTGAGATGGTCCCTAATTCCACATCCCCCAGATGTATCGAGATTCCAGTCCCCAGAGTGATGGATAACATCCCCGTAGAGAGGCCACCTAGTCCAGCTGCATTCACAATGACAGATGACCAGAAAATCCTAACTAACGCTGAAGTTCACTGGAATGGTAATTCCTTCCCTGCTTTCGAATGCCGTTGGAGTGACGAAGAGAAAACAGACAGTGAAATACTTAAACCCCTTCTTGACAGCTCCAGTAGTCCTGATACAGGAAAGGAAGTTGAAGAAGAACTAAAGGAAGGTGAGTTGAGACGTTTGTGCCAAAGAATATTCCTAAAGGAATGGGTAGTTTGAATCCCTAATAGAAACTGCATGTTTCCCTGTATATGCATTAAAGATTTATTTTCTTGCATGTTTTGCTTTTCCCCCATATCCCCTTTCCCACATTGGTAGCATGAATCGGTTTGGTATGTATTGTATGTTCTGAGATGTTGTCTTTTTTAAACAGCGACGGAGTCTGGTCGAAGAAGATTGGCCCAGAAATCTGCAAATATCAAGTGCCTGCGACCTGAATGTACGAAAACCTTGCCAGTTGAGGATGCACGAATCAGGTTTAGAACATGCAATAATTGCTATGCCTATTACTGTAGTAGATCATGTCGCAAACAGCATCTTCCACGGCATCGTGAAGAATGTCCTCATACCCGTACTAGCCATCTCTGTAAGCAGGTGTTAATGAAAGCACGTGAAGACTCAGTTTCCCGTCGCCATCTTTCAGCATGTGCCAGACGCGGTTTGCTTGCAAGAGGCAGAGGAGTTGTCAAACTTGTCCTGACATCAAACGACGCTGCAGATTATCTCTGTAGCGGTTGGGGTTCAATCAGAGGTCAAACTCTGTATATACCACGCTCAGATCTCCTACCTCAAGAGATTGGCCATGACACCTACGCTCATATTGCCAATCTCTGCGACAAATACAACCCAGAAAAGAAATTTGTCTTATTAGCCGCCATTTATATCGGTGGTGGCGAAATACCAACAGGTCCAAATCCTGTTGCCGAAAAGGAAATCATAGCAAGGGGAGCCAAACTACATCTTTCTCCAACACTCCCAGAAGACGATGTGAAGACACTAATCCTACCTGTTATGACAACACCCCAGACAGAAACAACACTCCTCGATCGACAAAAAGGCGTTCAATCGGTATGCGACCAACTACGACCATTAGGAGTCGATTTACCAACAAGATACCCCGAAATAAACGCAAAACTAACCGCTTTCGTACATGCTAACGAGGTATTCGTACCTTTTACCATCTTCCCTATCGACCCAAAATCTGGTAGAACCTTAATGTGTATAATTCTACCTTGGGCAGATAATGATATCATTACTAATATTTCCTCAAAGACAACAGTTCGTACGAAATCTTCACGACGTAAAAAGACAACAACTCCACCATGAACATCTGTGATCAAGTCCCATTATGTTTTTACAGGCTCCTTTACTACAGTTCAGACATTTTACTTCATTTCTCTCTATTAATTCTATATCTATAAATACCTTCAAAATACATTTTAGAACCTTTCCTTAAGTATAATAAATTCCTTTTCAGATTATCCTCAAAATGCCTTAAACCTAAACTACAATATTCGAAAAAGAAAGAATAAATCATATTGAGGTAATGGGTTTCTTTTAATTTTGATTTTTCGCAAACTTTCGAGCGAAATTTCTGCTCTTTAACGGGAAAATATTTCTATATATCTAAAGAGACAAAGGTCGCCTCTCCCGTCAAAACAGACGTCAAAACTAGACGCCATCTATTGACCGTCGCCGCAACTAGCGGCCTCGGGTCGGTGACAAAGCCACAACACCAGCTTTGGCAAACTGAAAAACGTCCACCTAGAGACCATGGTTTCGGGCTAATGGCCCTCGTCAGTTGTCAAAGCTGGTGTTGTGGCTTTGTCACCGACCCGAGGCCGCTAGTTGCGGCGACGGTCATTAGATGGCGTCTAGTTTTGACGTCTGTTTTGACGGGAGAGGTGACCTTTGTCTCTTTAGATCAATATCCTCCCGGAAAAATTTACTTCTATATATATATATATATATACATATGTTATATTAAAATATTTTATTTAAAATTATATTTCATCGATTCAAATACTCTACTAAATAGAACGCCGGAGGTCACGCTTCCCCTATAAAAACTCATTGTTGTTGTTTCCCGATGGCCGGCTCAAACCTTTTGTACATTATGTAAATAACGTATATGTACGATATAATATTTACGAACGGAAAAATATGTCCAGGGTAGCCTAGTGGTCATGGCATCTGCCCGGTAAGCGGAACACTGTGGGTTCGATTCCCATCCCTGGACACTTTTATTTTTCCGTTTATCATTACTCTTCACAATTCATCTTTTCATACTTCATCCTTTAAGGTTAGAAATAATCGTTATTTCTCCTTGAGATAAATTTTGATTTTTTCATTGAAAGGAAACTCATGCGAGATAATTTTCAAATGTCGTTTTACAAAATAATCCTTTGCTTTCCTTTTTCTACTCGCCTTAAGCCAGGCAGTACTTTTATAAAATTATGTTTTTATGTATATTCCTTAGCTCAATTAAATAAATCTCTGATCAAAACCATTTTTATTATTATACTTTAAAGATTATTGCCACGACTGCAGAACAATATCATAAAATACTCATGGATACCAAAATCAAGCAACAGCTAATAATTTTATAAAAATAATAAAAAATCAACAGATATCTCATTCAAAATTCGACACTATTTTAAAAACGTAAGATTTTTTTTTAATTAAACAATTTCTACTGCCCTTACTGAAATGGAAAAATTAAAGGGAGGGCCTGGCTCATCAGTGGTGAACCCTCCCAGCAGTTTCGCCAGTTTAATCTACCATACCGCTGTTATATTGCATTTTTGAAACTTCCTTTTATAATGATACTGTTGCTAGACTCTTGGAATGGGTATTTTAGATGAACTATGGACATAAGCTTTGAGGACAGTAGAATTACATACAATTATGAATATTACCATATGCCCGTTAAAGAGCAGAAATTTTGCTCGAAAACTTGCAAAAATCAAAATTAAAAAGAAACCCTTTACCTCAATATTGTTTTTTTTTCGAATAATTTCTAGGTAACTTTTACTAAATACAATGTGTAAAATTTAATATTTTTTTAGAAAGTACACTATTTTCGTTAAAAGAAATCGAATTAAAATGTTACCTGACAAGTAATATTAAAAATTGGCAAAAAACGAAATATTTTTTATTATCAAAAGAATTCATTCATTAAGATAAAAATATGAATTATATATAATTTGTTATAACATTGCTAAAAAGATATTTAAAAAAAAAAACTCATGGAATTGAAATATTCAAAATTCGAAACTATTTTAAAAGGCGTAAGATTCTTTTTGATATTAAACAATTTCTACTGCCCTTACTGTAATGGAAAAATTAATAGGAGGGCCTGGCTCATCAGTGGTGAACCCTTCCAGCGGTTTCGCCAGTTTAATCTACCATCAGTGGTGAACCCTTCCAGCGGTTTCGCCAGTTTAATCTACCATCAGTGGTGAACCCTCCCAGCGGTTTCGCTAGTTTAATCTACCATCAGTGGTGAACCCTCCCAGCGGTTTCGCCAGTTTAATCTACCATCAGTGGTGAACCCTCCCAGCGGTTTCGCTAGTTTAATCTACCAATTTCCCATAATTTTTCCATTGCAGTAAGGGAAGTAGAAATTGTTTAATATCAAAAAGAATCATACGCGTTTAAAATAGTTTCGAATTTTGATAACAGATGGCGGGCTAGTGCATCCATCATATTAAAATTGAAATATTAATATAAAATATATATACACTTTAGATTTTAATAACGATATTTTTAAAGTTTGATAATGGCATTTATAGATTTTTGTGTTGTTTGAGAATGAATCGTTTTAAAAGAGATACTCTCCTGCTGGATAAAACATTTGTTTATGAATATTTAAAATTTTTCAAGGCGATAAAAAATAAAGTCGGTGGACGAGTGGGTAACACCTTCGATTCCCGACAGTCATGAACCGGGATTGAATCCTGTGTTAACATTTTGTTTAATATGTGAATAACCTTCATATATTATTCACTGTTTCAATTATCATAAACTGGGTTGCTCTTGTTGAGCGGTACCTATTAATGTGATTTTGAACCAGAAATCAAGGCGATAGATAAAATGAGGGAAGAAGTGCTCAACTCCACAGACAACGGCTGATTTTCCCCTCTAAATTCCTCCTCACTCATGTACATATATAACATTTTAGGGGAATCCCCTTATAAGACAATAGTGTCTTAATAAAGATTGTTGTTGTTTTAAAACAGATAGGAATTTTTCTGGAAAGATATTAATCTAAAAAAACAAAGGTCATCTCTCCTGTCAAAATAGTCGTCAAAACTAGACGCCATCTATTTAGCTATTGTGGCTTTGTCAACGACCTGTGACTGCTAGTTTGCGGCGACAGTCAATAGATAAGGTCTAGCTTTGACCTCTATTTTGACGTTAGAGGAAACCTTTGCTGCTTTTATAGAGTATTTTAAAGGGCTATATAGAATATTTAGCTGTTGTGGCTTTGTCAACGACCTGTGACTACTAGTTTGCGGCGACGGTCAATAGATAGCGTCTAGTTTTGATCTCTATTTTGACGGGAGAGACAACCTTTGCTGCTTTTATAGAGTATTTTAAGGAGTATTTTATAGAATTAGTGTGGATTTCTGAAGCACTTCAAATACTACCTAAACTGACTTCAGATTCGAACAATGGTGATGGAATTTATGTATTTATTATCATATCAGACGTGATATCCACACAAGGGATGCTTGCGTTAAGAAACAACACTAAATTAAGATACTATATTACATAAACAATTGAATAATTACAAGGTTTGAGTGGAGTTTAAAGAAGAAAAGAAAGGACATTAAAATCATGCTTTAATTTATAACTAATGAAATAAATACAAATAAATATACCTAATTTGGCAATTACGGTATTGTTGTTGTTGTGTCCAATGAAGAGCCTCAGATGTCTCTGTACATCTCTATCACAGCAATGTTCTCTATCTTGGGTGCGTAAAGCTGCTGTTCTGGGTCAATTTTCTGTTGTTGTTGTGTCCAATGAAGAGCCTCAGATGTCTCCGTACATCTCTATCACAGCAATGTTCTCTATCTTGGGTGTGTAAAAGTTGCTGTTCTGGGTCAATTTTCTGTTGTTGTTGTGTCCAATGAAGAGCCTCAGATGTCTCCGTACATCTCTATCACAGCAATGTTCTCTATCTTGGGTGTGTAAAAGTTGCTGTTCTGGGTCAATTTTCTGTTGTTGTTTTGTCCAATGAAGAGCCTCAGATATCTCCGTGCATCTCTATCACAGCAATGTTCTCTATCTTGGGTGTGTAAAGCTGCTGTTCTGGGTCAATTTTCTGTTGTTGTTGTGCCCAATGAAGAGCCTCAAATATCTCCGTACATCTCTATCACAGCAATGTTCTCTATCTTGGGTGTGTAAAGCTGCTGTTCTGGGTCAATTTTCTGTTGTTGTTGTGTCCAATGAAGAGCCTCAGATATCTCCGTGCATCTCTATCACAGCAGCAGCAATTGGAAAATAGGTGCCGTTGCCACGTTAGTCACCTTGGACCAGAATTTGGTCAAATATTCCAAGGGTCTAGGGGGGACCGCAGGGAGATGTGGTCGGACTTCTAACCCCCAATTACGGTAATGGAATGGTTGAAAGAAGAAATTAACTAGAGATTTCAGGCTTACAGGAGGTATGCGAGTTTAAAAAAGGATGAATTGTTACAATCAAGAAGCCAGTACTTTTGCTTTCTCCATAGGATAGTCTGCAACCCTACAAAGTTGAATGTTAACACAAAAAGTAAAATTTGTGGCATTTCCAGTCAGTGAATACAAGTTGAATCTGTACTTCAAAGAGGAATATATTCAAGGATACATTCATGGACAAATCTTTAGGAAGTGGATATTCTTTGAACTAAATAGCCAAAACAAGAATTGGAGGATCCCACCTAGCACAGCTGGTACAGTAGAGTGAACCCAGGAGGAGATCTGAACCTCAGACAGCATCAAACAACACTAACAAGAATTAGAACTGTCCATCTTAAGTCATTGAAGATAGAAAATAACAGCAAAATATGCCCCACTTGTCCAAAATGTAGCTTAAGACCTGCAGCTCAAGAACACATTTTGGCTTGTATTAGATGCACTAAACAGGATATTTGCGAGAAACCGCTGCTTATCACAAAACATTTCGAGGAGCATGGATTCATGGAATTTGTGTAATCTTTACACAAGGAGATAAGAAACAACAACACTGTCTATAAACAGCTGGAGGATCATGGATTCGTGGAATTTGTGTAATCTTTACACAATGGCATAAGAAATAACAACAAAACTGTCTATAAACAGCCGGAGGAGCATGGACTCATGGAATTGGTGTAATCTTTACACAAGGGGATAAGAAACAACAACACTGTCTATAAACAGCTGGAGGAGCATGGACTCATGGAATTGGTGTAATCTTTACACAAGGGGAAAAGAAACAACAACACTGTCTATAAACAGCTGGAGGAGCATGGACTCATGGAATTGGTGTAATCTTTACACAAGGGGATAAGAAACAACAACAGTACTGTCTATAAACAGCTGGAGGAGCATGGACTCATGGAATTGGTGTAATCTTTACACAAGGGGATAAGAAACAACAACAGTACTGTCTATAAACAGCTGGAGGAGCATGGACTCATGGATTGGTGTAATCTTTACACAAGGGGGTAAGAAACAACAACACTGTCTATAAACAGCTGGAGGAGCATGGACTCATGGAATTGGTGTAATCTTTACACAAGGGGAAAAGAAACAACAACACTGTCTATAAACAGCTGGAGGAGCATGGACTCATGGAATTGGTGTAATCTTTACACAAGGGGATAAGAAACAACAACAGTACTGTCTATAAACAGCTGGAGGAGCATGGACTCATGGAATTGGTGTAATCTTTACACAAGGGGATAAGAAACAACAACAGTACTGTCTATAAACAGCTGGAGGAGCATGGACTCATGGATTGGTGTAATCTTTACACAAGGGGGTAAGAAACAACAACAGTACTGTCTATAAACAGCTGGAGGAGCATGGACTCATGGAATTGGTGTAATCTTTACACAAGGGGATAAGAAACAACAACAGTACTGTCTATAAACAGCTGGAGGAGCATGGACTCATGGAATTGGTGTAATCTTTACACAAGGGGATAAGAAACAACAACAGTACTGTCTATAAACAGCTGGAGGAGCATGGACTCATGGATTGGTGTAAT